CACTGACTAACTTCATTTTATCTACATTTCTTTCTTTTTTCTTTTTTTTTTTTTTTTTTTTTTTTTTTTTTCCAGTTATCAGGGCTTCCTGTTCTGTCTCTGGAGGTTCCTCATAATGCAATATTCAGACCTCAGTCTTACTTTAAGTTACAATATAGTGCCTGAGGCTTAACTTGTTGCTGGTTTCTTCTTGTCATTTATATCTGCCAAAATGAGCTCTTCTGAAATAATCTTCGTCAAGAATTTTTATCTCATGTTTTGTCATCTGAGTTTGAATGACTATTTCTTTGAACTATTAAGAAAGTTCATCTGAGGCCAGTCCTGTAGCCTAGTGGTCAAGAGAGCTGGAACCCACACATTAAACCATTGTTCAAATCCCGGCCCTGGTGGCATAAGAAACATACCAGGCATATGTGTGTGTGTACTCCCCCAAATTCTGATGAGATGGAGAAGTGAAGGAGAAAAGATTGTAGCACAACCACACCCCATCAAGGAGTGCTTTCTCCCTCTGTCTTTCCCTGGGAAGCACATGCACTCTCAGGCAACTTAAAAAAAAAAAAATAGAAAAAGAAAGGTTTGCATCCTCCTCACCTCCATTTCTAGTATTTTTCTAGTAAGGGTTATATACAACTTCAGGAAATGAAGATAAATTAATAAAAATATTTCAGCATATTTATGTGAGAGCTCTGCTGTTTCACCAAGGGATGTAATTGAATTTTATGGCAAAGCTAAAAATGACAGAACTATTATAAAAATGGCTATAAGGCAAAGTGAAGAGCACTAACCTATAAGGTTAATTGGAGAGTTCCACTGTGGCGACACTTCTTGGAGCAACTTAGAAATACAATACAGGACTAAGCAGAATCAGAACAATCCCCCTATTCCTAAGTGAAAGACTCTTCAGTGACTGTAAAAATCTCATCATAAACATGTGTGATGAAGAATATTTCTTTGATGTTTGGAGTGATGGTGACAATGCAAAGGCATGGCATCAGGAATATACTTTTCCACTAGCCTGACAAAATTATCAGTGAGCAATTACAAATGCATTTTTCTTCCTGACTTTATTAGATATATATTTCTAAATAACAAAATATATCCAAAACTGAATTAAAACAAAAGTTTTTATCTCACAGATTTTGTGGATCATGAATGAATCAGGAATAGTTTAGATAGGTTCTTGCAACAAGGTCTCTCATGTGGCAATGGCAAAGCCTACATTCATGTCAATGTTCCACTAGGGAAGACACTCCAAATTCACTCCTGTGGTTGTTGATAGGCTTCAGTTCCTTGTAGGCTTTGACTGGAAGTCTCCCTCAACTACTCCTATGCGGGCCACTGCACAGAGCAGTTTCCAGCATGGCAGCTGGTGTCTAGCAGAGTGAGAGAGTGAGGAATGAAGAGAGAAATCTTTTTTTTTTGCCACTTAATCTCAGAAGTAACATACCATTACTTCTGCTAATTTCAATCTATTAGAAGCTGGTCATAAGACCACCATATCCAAAGGGTAGAATCATTGGTAACTATCTTAGAGCCTGCCTATCCCCTTCCCAACTGCATTCATCCCTCCTCAGATCCCCAAGTCTTATTTCATTACAATATCAGCTGAAAGTTCAGAATTCCATCATCAAAATGAAGTTAGAGTAGCTGAGGCTCTTCAGGCGTGGTTATGCACAGCTTCTGCAGCACAGTTCCTTTTCACCTCATGAAACTGAAGAGGCAAGTTATCAGTCCACCACTCCCTAAACAAAATGATCAGTAAGGAATACAACAACTGCCATAGACATTCCTGTTCACAAGGGGTGTCGGGAGAGACACACAAAGAAATCAGTAAGTTCAGCTTATTTATAAGTGGTGGAGGTCAGCAGGTGGCATAGTGGTTAATGTGTTGGACTCCCATATGGACTCCCACATGTCTGACTGTGGTTCAAGTCCTAGATCTGGTAGCTTGAAAATCATGCTGGGTACATGTGCCCACAGCTAATATTCTGGCTTCATAAAATATTTTAAACATATATAATTATTCCTTTTTTAATTTTTTAATTGCCAAAGAGCATGTGTGCTCACCAGAGAGAGAGGGAAAGGGAAAATGCATCCCTCAGGGGGTGTGGTCATGCTGCAATCCCTTCTCTTCCATTTCTCCATCCTGTCAGGATTTTGGGTAGATATGCACACATGCTCAGTGTATTTTTCTTTAATTTTTTTTCCTGGAGAGGTTTTTACTATAGGGTGTGTGTGCTTGCCAGAAAGACAGAGAGAGACAGAGAGACAGAAAGCGAGAAATCACCTCCTGGGGGGGGGGTGGCCACGCCACAATCCCTTCTCCTCCCTTCTCTTCTCGGGATCTTGGGCATGCATGCACATGCGCCTGGCATGAGTTTAAGCCACCAGGTCTGGGACTCGAACCATGGTCGACCACATGGGAGTCCAGTGACATAGCCATCACGCCAACTGCTGGTCCCGCTCAGTGTATTTTTCAAGTGACCAGGTCTGAGATTCAAACTATGCCATCGGCCATGTAGGATCCAGCTCCCTTAACCACTGAGTCACAGGGCCATCCTCATATGTAATTATTTCTCACTAGAAAACATCTGTAATAAGCTATCCAAACTAGAACATGAACTGGAAATTATTAAATGTCTGTCTGCTGTGCTAAAATAACAAAAAAAGTTATTACAACATGCAGCAGTTACTAAAATCTCTAAGGTAACTACAATATCTGCAGTAACAATTGGTCAACTTTATATTATTTTATGGCATTCCTATTCAAGACTCATACCCTTTTTCTTTAAATGAGTATAGCTATAATTTTATGAATCATCTATCCAAATGTGCAGAACAGGCCTTTGGGAGAGAACAAGGACACTCATTTTTCTTAACTGACACCTGTTTGTTTTATCATATGAACATGCAATTCTCTTACATCAGTTTTTATCTTCGATGACATATGAAAGATCCAAGATCAAATTGGCTGTCTCTACAGCTGCCTGTAGGCCACCAAGCTTAGCTGTAAAACAGTCCAAGGTCAAGTTGTTGGCAGAGCCCACAGCTTCATGAGGAAGGCAGGTTTCTAGAGCAAACGGGTGATGTGTGCTTCTTAGAAAACACCAGCTGAGTTCTTCCTGGCTGTTGTATATTCCACAGCCACATCGGGAAAGTAAACCTGGCCAGTTAACAGGAGAGGGAGAATCTGCCTGAACAGACCAAAAATGTCCATACTTCATGTCAGTGAGAATTTCCCCTCCGTCATGTTCTAACGAGCCAGCGAGAGACTCTAAAGTGCTGCAAAATGCTTCAGCAATTAGTTGAAGTTCTGTTTGAGTACATCCACCATCTTTGAGAATGCTTTCTGGCTCATTATGAATCTAAAGAGAAATAAAATCGTTGAAAACACAGCATAGTTACTATAAAAGTGTTTTAAAAAATAGGATATTTGATCAAAAATTCATAATGTTACTACTTACTTTCTTTTACTTCAGGGTTTGACACGATGCTACTTGGCTTGCATAGGTCAGCTGGCCAAGCTGCAATCCCTTAACGTGGCTGGTTGTAGTAAAAATGTATGCTACCACTTATGTCATCAGAATGAATGAATCAGAACAGCCCCATTATCAACTTGGAAGTGATACCAGGGCCTAGTAGTGCCTTCTTAATACATAATAAAGAACAAGGCTCTACGCATAAATTACAGGTTTTTTTTAAATTTTTTTGAGAGGTTTTTTCACTATAGGGCACGTGCGCTCGCCAGATAGAGAGAGACATAGAGACAGAAAACAAGAAATCACCCCCCAGGGGGGACGGTCACGCCGCAATCCCTTCTCCTCCATTCTCCTCTCGGGATCTTGGGCACGCACGCACACGCGCCCGGCGTGAGTTCTAAGCCACCGGGTTTGGGACACGAACAGTGGTCAACTACGTGGGAGTCCAGCAACATAGCCATTACGCTAACTGCTGGTTCCCAAATTACAGGTTTTCATGCAGACAGGTAAGTTCCTAAAGTTAATGTCCCAAATGAAGTACTTATTTATCTTGGCAAAAAGTTCGAGATTTATTTAAAATGAGAACATGTATGTTCTTAAGATATCATTTAGGGACATGTTCATCTCACTGTTTTAAAAATAAATATTCTTCTCTTTAAATTAATAAAAAGTTAGTAAGGCTTTTAAATGAGTTTTAGTTCCATCACTTTAAAAAGTTCATTCTAGAAATTCCATGATAGAAAGAAGACTTAAAGTAATAGCAAACTAATAGATGAATGATGGTTTTAAGAAATTCATATCCTAAGTACTTAACACTGTGGCCACTTTTTTTTTTTCTTTTAAGCTAGGTTTGAACCAGATGGGATAATCTCCATTGCATATTCTACTCCCATGTCCTCACTGCTACTAACATACTGTTTCATCAAAATCCTGCTCAAGATATCCCCTCCCTCCAAAGTTCTTTATTTTACTCAATTATATTTGCAGATGGCATTATTGTCCATTCAGCACCAATATACTGGCACTGATTTTTTTTTAGGGAGATTTTTGCTATAGGGCATGTGTGCTTGCTGGAGAGACAAGGAGAGACAGAGAGACAGAAAGTAAGAAATCATTTCCCAAGGGGGGATAGCCACACTGCAATCCCTTCTCCATTCTCCTCCTGGGATTTTGGACATACATACATATGCACTCAGTGTGAGTTTTAAGCCACCAGCTCTAGGACTCAAACTGTGGTCGACTACGTGGGAGTCCAGTGATGTAACCATTCCTCATCTGCTGATCCCTCGTTTTTGTATTTTATAAAGTATGTTCTGTTTTTCTGTTTGTTTTATCTTTTGACCATAAGGCACATGTGCTCGCCACAAAGAGACAGTGAAGGGAAAGTGAAAAATCACCCCCTAGAGGAGATGGCTACACCACAATCCCTTCTTTTCCATTTTCCTCCCAGGATTTTGGGTACATGCACATGGGCACATGTCATTTTCAAGCTGCTGGGTCCAGGACTCAAACCACAGTCAACCATGTGGGAGTCCAGAGCCTTCAAAAACATGCCACCTGCTGGCGTCATGTATATTCTGTTTTTGTTGTTTACAGTAGAGTATCTATTTGTGCATGTGAGAGAGACAGAGAGAGGAGAAGCATCCTTCATAAGGCCTGGCCATTGTATAATCCCCTTCCTCCAGTCCTCCAGCTTGCTAAGATGCTGGGCATGTTTGCATGCATCTTGGACTGTTTCAGGTTGATCAGGTTGGAGACTTGAACCGCAGTTGGCAGGTGACTTCTAGATCCATGGTCAGGTATGTTACCAGTTGCACTACAGTGGCTGAGTCCATAAAGTATATTCTGATAACTTTCCATTAATGGAGTTAATCTTTAAATAGATTTTAAGTTATTTGGGGAAGCCAAGTGGGGTATGTCTATAATAAGTTTACTCTGCTCAATTCCAGTTACCTACTGGAAGCTCTGTACAGTTTTTCTTTTCTTTTCTTTTCTTTTTTTTTTTTTGAGAGGTTTTTGCTATAGGGCACGTGTGCTCGCCAGACACAGAGACAGACAAGAGAGACAGAAAGCGAGAAATCACCCCCCAGAGGGGATGGCCACGCCGCAATCCCTTCTCCTCCATTCTCCTCTCGGGATCTTGGGCACGCACGCACACGCACCTGGTGTGAGTTTAAACCACTGGGTCCGGGACGCAAACTGCAGTCGACTATGTGGGAGTCCAGCAACATAGCCATTATGCTAACTGCTGGTCCCTCTGTACAGTTTTTCAACAACTGTTCTGTCTACCCAATGAGTCAACTGCAAATATTTAGAAAATAAATCTTTCTGTATATATTTTCAAGTAAAATATTTATGAAATAATAAATCAGAACTGAAAATCTTTCTGTATATATTTTCAAGTAAAATAGAGTATTTATGAAATAATCAATCGGAACTATAATATATTAAACTTATCTGACAATTGTCAGGAAACGGAGTTTCCTAAATAAAAGTCTATATAATAATCCAAAATATAATACATAACAATTTAAAAATTATAATAGACTCTAATATTGAGTTTAATAAATGAAATTTGTAAGTCTTCCCCCTCCAACATTTATTTATTTGTATACATATTTATTTGTCATGATTTTCAAGGCACTCTGTGCAGGCAGGCTTCCAACTGCAGTTGGCCCTGTGAGAATCCAGCGCCTTCACCACCACTCCACCCTCTAAGTCTTTTCTTGATGCTCCAGAGGTACTAAAGTAATTTCTAGAACCTCAATCCTTTCATTGTGAGTATCAACTATTATTAAATCATAGCAGTTGAGATCTCAATATGAGAACTCCCAATAATGGAATGGCAATTTTGAAATTCAGTATAGTATACAATATTCAAAGAGTGTAATCATTTGAACAGATTTATAATAATCACTGCAATTAAGATGGTACCTTATACTCACAAGTGCTACTTTCCTCAAGTGTTTTCAAACAACATCCTATTTAGACTTAAAAAAGTATGCATTAGAGGCTCTAAATTTCATGGTTTGGCTTATTATCTTGTAAAACAAGAGTTTTTGAGAATTTGGATAATCTGAAGAGGACTGCCTAATTTACCTTGTATCTGATATATGCAGCCAAATGAGTTTCAGTACAGCCACCTCCCAACAAAACCCAAGGCTCCTTGATTGTTAACTGCAAGACATGTACTGCTGTTTGACACGTGAGCTGAAAAAAGAAACAAATCATCACATTAGAACCTCATGTCAGATTTATGAAGAAATATAACCAGGCTCTCAAAGCAACACAGAGAGTGAACTCAGAGAGCCTAATTTTAATTGCAAAAGAGCAAAATCTTCATTGCCAAGGTTGTAATGTTACTTATACATTTTGGAATAATAAAGATTAGAGATTAAAGAAAAATACTTTATTTCATGGAGCCAGAAGAGTATTTTCTTTGATACAGTTAGCTTTTCAAATTGAGATTCACAAATATGTAACCTGAAATATCTAGATCAACAAGGTATGCTGGTACACCATTAAAAAATTATTATTTAAAATATTTAAATTATTTATTATTATTATTATTATTGTTATTATTTTCAAGTTTGCCACAGGGCATGTGTGCTCACTAGAGACAGAGAGAGTAGGAGAGGGAAAGGAAGAAAGCAAGCCACCAGGTACGGGACTTGAATCACGGTCAGCCATGTGGGAGTCTAGTGCCTTAACACTATGTCATTTGTTGGGTCATAAAATTATTTTTAAAAATAATTCTTTTCAGCTTAAAATTTTTTTCAAATAGTCGAAAAAACGTTGTATAAATACTATAAATTTATTTCAAATTGTATTGGAAATATAGCTACAATCCTGCAACATAGACCTTCAATATTCACCAGGGCCATATCCTTGTGCATTCATGAATCTTCAGACTTTTGACTAATGCATAGATGATCACTTTCATTACATAAAAATTGCATGTGTTGCTGCTGGCCAAGATCAACAAACTCTGCTAAGAGGTGGATAATGGATATTGACCAGTGAACTCATTTTCTGAGTGAATTGTTCATATACATTAGCACCAATGAGTACATAATTCAAATTCTTAAGAAAAATTTACATATCAAGGACATTTTAGGTTTCTTGTTACTAGTAAAAACAATAAATGATAACAACAAAGGGTAATAATAAATGAACAAGTTTACTGTAATGTCATAGGCAATTAAATTACATTGTTTACTAGTGACTTTGCTTCTCTTATTTTTGTTTTTGCTTTCTATATGACCTAGGGAAGTTATGAAAAAAAAAAATACATCCCACTAAGTAAAAAAACTATAATGTCTGCTGAGTGACTAACCACTGTCTCAGCCCCGGGATATGGAATTGTAAGTTCATTGCCTACCTTCAGCTCATCCCAGGCAGTGTCATTTCTGTTACCAAGAAGCAAACTGCAGATAGTAGATTCATTAGGAACAAGATGAAAAAAATGTTTCGAGCCAAATTTTGCAGAGCACAGGTCTTCCACACTCCCATAACTACTAGGGGATATTGCACCAAGGGCACCAATAGGCTGAGTTCCTATTTTTAAAATTTAGAAAGCACAAAATATATAAGCAAAGGTAGAACAAACTACCATTTAAAATTAGTTATTTCTGGCTAATATAAAATTCCCACAAACATATCATTTGAAATATAAAATACAGAATAAAGAAGTAACAAGATCCAACTTCTTAAACCAATAAGTAGTATTTCATTAAAATTATACCTAAGTAAAGCAAAAGTTCTTTTGGCTTATGAACCTCTTTTAACATGTTAAAGGGTATTTTGTACTCTCTTTTGTGAAAAAGGCAAAATTCTGCTTATATTTGAAGGGAGTCCAGGAACCCTGGAAGCCCATTCATGGATTAGAAAGGCTAAATTAAAAGCCTCACTAATCTAGAATAAGTGTGATAAGGGTAATTTAAGGGGACAGCTGTTTTGTTAAGACATTATTTTCAATTTAAAAAAATAAAGGTATCCAACAAGATGTGTTGTTTAATTCCTTTGGTTCTCTTGTCTATTATTTTTGCCTAGAAACTATTTGTATTTCAATAACTACCTAATTATGCCAAAATAATGTAAATATGTAGTGTAGTTATTTTACTTTATTTTCTATTGATATAGGAAGTATTGCCCTCCTATGTGCACAGGTAAGATGGTAAAATTTTACAAATCACAAATTAATAAATATATGAATAGAGAAGAATGTTTGAAAAATCTCTAAATGTAGTTACAGTTATGTAAGAAACCTACAGCAAACTTCTACAAGAAAACAAACTGTGTCAGTTAACAGTCTAAAAATAGAAGGGTCAGCAGGTGGTGTGGTGGTTAAGGTGCTGGACTCCTACATGGCCAGACCACAATTCCAGTCCCAGACGTGGTGGCTTGAAAAATCATGCCAGGTGCACATGCACAGGTGCCCAGAATCTCGGGACAATGGAGAAGGGATGGCCGTACCCCCTGGAGGTATAATTTCTCACTTTCCATCTCTTTCTCTCCAGCAAGCACACATACTCTTAAACCTTAGAAAGTAAAAACAGGGGTCCAGCAGGTGGTACAGTGGCTAAGGCACTTAACTCCTACATGGTGGACCACTGTTTTAGTGTCAGACTCAGTGGCTTGAAAATCACGCTGGGTGCATGTGTGGGAGAGACCAAAATTTCCAGAGAATAGAGAAGGAATTACAGTGTGGTCATTCCTTGGGGAGATTTTTCACTTTCCATCTCTCTGTCTCTCTGGGGAGTGCACCTGTGCAATGGCAAAAAACCTTAAAAAAAAAGTCTAAATATTGAAACTTGGGCAGGAGGTGGTGTGGAGGTTAAGGTGGCAGGATCCTAATAGCTGACTGCATGGTTTGAAGCTCAGATCCAGTGACTTGAAAATCATGCTGGATGCATGTGTGTGCTTGCCCCAAATCCTGAGAGAATAGACTGCAGCATGGGCATCCCTCCTGGGGGGGTGATGGTTCACTTTGTCTCCTCTCTCTCTGACTCTCTGAGGTGAATGCCTGTGCCCTATAGCAAAAATGAAAAGAAAAAAAAGAGATTGAAACTGTTACTATGCAAGTCACTTCCTTGTACTAGTTTTCTTTTAAACCAATGTTTAAATTATTTTATTCCAGATGAATTAACTGTCTTAAGATACTTCTCCTCAAAAAACTTTTAGAATAATCATTCAACAATTTCATTTGTCTGAAAAGTGTTTCATTTTTTTCCTTCTTGAAACCTCTAAGAATAAGGAATACTTTAAAGAGTGATTTAAAATCAAGGGGGAAAAATGTCTAAATCTTTTTTAAAAAAGGATTATTTATTTATTTTCATGTGTTATTATTTTTTTAATTTGACCAGAGAGAAAGAGAGAGAGTGAGAGAGAGAGAGAAAGAGAAAAGGAAAGCGAGAAAGCAACTTGCCAGATCCAGAACTTGAACTGCGGTCTGCCATGTGCGAATCCAGCACCCTTAGCCACGATGCCACATGCTGGCCCCTAACATCTACATCTTACTGAAGTGTTTGTGGAAACAACAGACTCTGGGAAGAGAGGACCTGGCTTCACTACTTATTAGCCACTGGACATCGTCAGTCACTTATGTCATTCAACCTTTTTTGGGTGGGCACCTTTACATGAGAGTAAAAGAAATAATTATGCCTATTTCATATTTAAATTGAGTCAAATCGAACATGTTAAAAATGTTCTGTAAGCCATGACATGCTTCACATATCCTAGTCATCCATGAATAACACCTACTACTTAACCTAGATCAATAGAAATCTTAACATAGGATTTTTTTGGCCAGCCCCATAGCCTAGTGGTTAAAAGAGCCTGATCCCAAGTAGCCAAGTGGGGTTTGAATCCTGTCCAAAAGCTTGAAAGACATGTTGGATGCCTGTGCATATGGGCCTCAAAACCCAAGTGGATGAAGAAATTAAAGGACTGGGATGTGACCACGCCCCACTGGGTGGTGTTTTCTCCTTTCTCTGTCTGGTAAGTGCACGCACTCTCTAGTAATTAGAAAGTAATAGAAAAAATTTTGAAGGACTAAGAGGTAATGCTAACCCTGATATACCAAGGAAAATGAATTAGGCCAAAAACATACTTTACCTTTTCTAAAACTTAAGACATGTACCTGCTCCCCCCACTTCCGTCTCGCCTCAAAAGGTTATCTGCAGCTAAGATACTTGACTGAAGTCTTGGCTATTAACATCTCTAGGCACATATGGGTTAATTAACAATCGTGGGCTAGTGTGGACACCCAGACTCCACTGTTCCTATGGCAATATGTTCTGTATTTTTAAAATGAAGTAATCTGGAATATCCAATATTCACAAGCCGTAAATTGCCAGATTCATGAAAAGTTGGTAGATATGTGATGTTAGTAGATATAAACATTGACTTCCAAAGAACTATTTCCATGATTTCTTAATACCTTCCACTTTGACAGTCATTTGAGTCTTACAGTCTATAATCCACACCTGGCATATGCACCTTTTTAATGATCTACAATGACTATAGTGAACTTCAACAATGATTTAAGTTTAAAAACTGTCACCAATGCATAACTGAATGATCATCTTTCTGATAAATTATCAATGCAGTTAAAGGGATAATGAAAAGAAGCTCAAATCAGAAACTCTTCAGCTTGTCATTGTTCTATGGCTCTAATCGGTGATTATCAATTTCATATAAGCTTTTAATTTGCTGAATTTGTGGTATACAGTAATGTTCCTAAATATATTAGTCAGTTCAACCAACATTTTAAACTCCTCTTGCGGGACAAGCCTGTTAAAAATGCTGATCCTTTTATGATCCTGGTTCTCAAAGAGGTCAGCTAGAAATATTTTTATATTTAAAGGTAAGATATACTTATGTACACATACACCACCAATAGGAAACAACTATTTAGGTGGTTGAAGCACAGTAGTTTGCTAGAGCTGTTGGAAAAAAAAAATGAAAAGGGTATTTTAGCTGCAAAATTATCTTACATGATTTTAAAACTTTGTATATTCTAGTAAAAGAATTTTATATTAGATATAAAAAGCCTTAGGGTTGTATTAGACTTCCCAGTAATGTAACAAAATTTAGGGGTTAGATTATAATATATTCTGTGGTACCTTATGGGGCTCAATGGGGCTCAGAAATATAATAGGTTGTCAGAAAAAGTCATGATGCATTTTTGCATAAAAATACACAGAAAAAATATGTCATGACTTTGCCAACAACCCAAAAGAATATGGTCATAGTCACAGCATTTTTTTTTTTTTTTTTGGAGAGATTTTCACTGTAGGGCGCGTGCGCTCGCCAGACAGACAAAGACATAGAGACAGAAAGCGAGAAATCACCCCCCAGGGGGGATGGTCACGCCGCAATCCCTTCTCCGCCATTCTCCTCTCGGGATCTTGGGCACGCACGCACACGCGCCCGGCGTGAGTTTTAAGCCACCGGGTCCGGGACACGAACCGCGGTCGACTATGTGGGAGTCCAGCGACATAGCCATTACGCTAACTGCTGGTTCCCAGCATTTTTAATAAGTGAAAATAATATAGGATCTTTTTCAGAAAGCTTTGTCAAAAATGACACGTTGTGATTAGTAGCTTCTATAATGTTTCAAGATGTTAACAGTGACACAAACCAAGAATATCTCAGCTCAAAATGGTATAATTTATTAACTGCAAGGGGCAAAAGCCAAGAATACTTTTTACCTGTTGCTTTACTCAGGGGTTCCATCAGAGTCACTCCAATTCTGTCTATGGCAATAACACGATGTGTACTGAAAAACCGTTTCAAAGATGGGTGTATAACTTTTTGGCACAGAACAAGGTCTACGTGGTCACTAACTAGCTGTTTTCCTAGGTTAATCAACAGGTCCAGGACAGCATTTTCAAGAGAAACCCCATCACTGACCACCACAGTTCCTTCTCCAGTGTCAGAAAGGTCTCCCGATAAAGAGGTACGAAAGAGTGCCACTTTGAGAGGACCTGGTTTTTTGGCAGGTAACAGCCTTATTAATTGAACTTCTGAGATTTCAATGAGTATTCCCGGTAACACAGTAGACTCTATGACTCTCTGACCTTTTAAAGGTACAATTATGCTCTTTCCTAAAATGATGTGGTCTTCAGCATTTTCTGGAATTGTAAGCAAAAAGGCCCTCAGAATCAAAGCACCGATATGATCTATTTCCTTTCCACTGAGCATGCAGGCAGGTTTACTTGTTAATATGCTGCGTACCAAGCAAAGGAGGATCTGAGTTCTACTAAAGTCGACTGGGATTCGACAACCACAGGCCTCAGACTTGAGATAACTTGTGCAGAGACTCAAAAGATGTTTATTTAATTTAATGATAGTGGTGGGTGTCAAGCCTGTTCTCTGAACATGTTCAATCAGGTTGCAGCAAAGAATGGTGGTGAATAAGCCACAGTCACTGAAGCATGTCACGTGATTCTGCACAGAAGTTGTCAGGATCTTTAATATAGGGTGGGTGACAGAAAGCTTACTGAGCAAGGCTGAGGACTGTGAAGTTGTGCACACATAGCCTCCAAGGCCATTGTGCAGCTGCTTCAGCCTTCCCGAGGGGCCATAGCATGATGTAACAATTCCTTTCAAGACACAAAGTGTGGCCCTGACTCTCTCACTTGTCAGTGGTTCCTTTTTACACAATGACGGCTTCTTAGCTTCTAAGCGAGACATCTTACTTCAGGTGGTAACTTGTGAAGACAGCTTTATTTGGTTAAACATATTTATTTATTGTATCTTCATGTGCTTTAACATTTAAAGAAATTATTTTGTAAGACTGAAAGTGCAACATGCAGCATCATGGCTATAAAATTAAATAGTTCTATGTTCGTGAAGCTAATCAGAATATAATGATTTAATGACATCTTAGTAATTCCAAATATTTATTTTATTTCATTCTTCAATATTCTTTTGTTTGTCTCCAGACTGAGATTTTACAGAATGCTTTGCAGTCCTTTGTATAATGTAAGTTCCAAGATGGACACCTATGAAAGACACTCCGGCTACAAGAAGCCAGTTCTTTCTAATCCAGCTGGTGTTTCTCATGTCTTCTTTCAATATCAAACTCAGATTCAAAGTTGCTTCTTTCTATAAGAAATAACAGAATATTTTAGAAGAATAATTCCAAAACATTTTGTAGGCTGCAGTTTATTTATTTATTCTAACATTCTGCTCCTTTTTTTATATTTTATTTTAGAAAAGCTACTATCAACTAGTATAAACCTCCAAAAACAAGAAAGGTAAACAAACTTAGAGTTAACATTTTTCAATGAATCTCTCCTACAAGAAAAAGTCTTGTGTTTCCGAGATTTCAGAAAGTATAACAACAGAGCTAGAAAGCTGACAGAACAGTATTTGAGTAGGACATGCTTCTGTAACAGAAATGCTGTGGTACAAAACGCAGAACTTGATCTCTGAGTCTTAGAAACGTAGCCTAAAATGGTTTTATTCTTTTAAATAAAAATTTAATGTTTTTATTTTTAACTTTGGTTTGCTTAGAAACTTTAGGTTTTAAACAGAAGTGGATTTACATCAAATCCTGCTTGTAAATAATTATGGAAACAAGATAGCTATTAGCATTTCTACTGTAGAAACTCAGTAATACCATCTATATTTAGCTGAATAAATTTGCACAACACACTGTGCCAAAGAACAAACCACATTTTAAATACTTAGCTAAAGGCAGACCTAATTTTGTCTAATTTTACTCTATCAATCAGCTTTGGAAGTCCTAACTAACTAATCTTCTCCAAAATGTTGGTTAATGACTATAAATACAAAAACCAAGGAAGGGATAACAAAGAGGAAAACAGGATCTAATCTGCAATTCGATCTCTAAGAGTCTAACTACCATAAAATGTTATCATATACCAAGTGAACAAGCAGAAATACAGCATTAGTTTTTTTAACAAGGTAGTAAATAGCATTAGCATGCCTTAAGGGATAAAATCCTGGCACTTTAATGTGTGAAAAGAGTAAAAATCTTGGGCTTTGTTGAGGCCTGGTGTACTGAAGGTGACACCAACTATTAATTACTTTCAGAAACATGCTAATGATACTAGCCACTTGGAAAGCATTCAGCATAAACTATTTAGCTTAAAATACTTCCTAAAACAGACTATGCACAGTGTGATGCTACAGACCAAAACAGTGATTTGAAGATGTGCAAAAAGGAGGTGAGGACAACAAGGGAATGTTATGCAAAGTGTTATTTTGGTTACTGCTCCCAACTTAAAGGGCTGTAACCATGGCAACTGGGCCCAAATAAAGTGAAGGCAATGATGATGGCCAGCTTTATCCCTGCAATGTCACCCTTTTTTTATGGAATGAGGAAGAACGAAAATCATTTTTCTTAGGCTGGTAACAGCCAAGGTACTTAAATATTATTTTAAGTCACTGATCAGACCGAACCAAATCTGAAAAATGTATTTAAATGTCACCTTACTGAAGTAAGTTCTATATGCTAATTAGATGTTGCAATTTATGCACATACGCACAAACTATAATAGAAAGTATGTCTGATAAGACAATCTATCTAGTTGGAACCTTTTTTTCAATACACAATAGTGACATTGAACTTTCCAAAAGCAGAATGCTGTGTTGGCACCTCTATCAGTTATAAGGGCAATGAGGTAAGTAACCACAGTTTTTTGACTAGTATTTCTAAAAAATGAAAAAGGAAGAAACTGTTGAAAGTGTTGGTGACTCCTCCTACATCATTTTAAAGATGTTAAAACTGCTGAGTGTGGTCATAGGTCTAGATTTGAACAAAATAAGTTATAAGAAAATGAAACAAAATATTGGGGCTGGTTTATAGACTGTGGAAGCATCAGTTTCAGCTCAATGAAAATTCTTCATTCTGACACAATGTGACCTATAATTCCAAAAGCTACAATTAGAATGAACGATCCTGACTATTCCTGATGTACAGGCAAGAAGGATTTTTTTTTTTTTTTGTAGTGATGGATAACTTAACTAACAGTAAAACACATGCTTGTCTTCTACATTAAAAGATACACTATAAAATATGACTTAACACATATAAATGGGGGGAAGTGGCCAGGGAGCAATAGGTGGCACTGGACTCCATAGCTGACTGAGATTTGAGTCCTGGACCCAGTAGCTTGAAACTCATGCCGTGTACTTGTGTGCTGAAAATTCTGAGAGGAAGGGACCAGCAGATGGCATAATGGTTATGACGCTGGACTCCCACGTGGTAGACTGTAGTTCGAGTTTCAGATCCAGTAGCTTAAACTCACGCTGGGCATGTGTGTGTGCATGCCCAAAATCCCAAGAGAAGAATGGAGGAGAGGGGATTGCAGTGTGGCCATACCACAGGCAGTGATTCTTTGCTGTCTCTCTGGTGAGTACACACACCCTATAGCAAAAATCTCTTTAAAAAAAAAAAAAATCTGAGAGGAGGAGAGAACAGAGAGGAAGGGATGGTGGCATGGCTGTTCTCCTTTGAGTGTGATTTCTCACTTTCTCTCTCTCTCTCTCTCTCTGTCTGTTTCTGGCAAATGCATGCCCCCTAAGGCAAACATCTAAAAATTTAAATTTTCTCCCAAAAGGAATCAGGGCCACATTTTTTTTTTTTTTTGGGGGGGGGAGGGATGCTGATCCTATGTCTGATGCAAGAAATACACAAAATGAGCTGCATCTTTTTTGGTCAAAAACTAAGGGTGTTACCAAAGATATCTGAGTAGTATCAACCCATAGTGCAGTGGCTAAGTGCACTATGCAGAGGAAGCCAGATTGCAGACAATCAACAGGGGTTAAAGTCCTAGCCCTGCTTGTTTGAAAAATATTCCAGGTATACCCAAGTGCTCAGAATCCTGATGAGATGGAGAAATGAAGGAAAAATTATTGCAGTATGACCAGGTCCCACTGAGGGGAGGGAAGACTGAGGGTGGTCTCTGTGCTTATCATGCACATACACATGCACAAGCTCTGTGGAATTTAAAGAAAAAAGAGGACACAAGAAAAAAATAACATGGGCGTCAACATGGAGCAGACCTAGAATGGAGCAACTTGAGTATTAAAAAGAATAACTGTAATAGACTGAGGTCACTGAAATACATGCATAACTATGAGCTGATATTAAATGCCAAACAGAAAACCGTAAGTTGTTAGAGTAGTGATTATTATAAAAACTAATAAAGGGAAATAAAACATTTATTTTACTTTCCTGTATAGATACATTTTAGGTTAACTGAACAGTTGACAAAAAGTTGTTCTAGCTAACAAATAGAGGACAGACAGAATTCAAGAGGCATTATTTGAGACCCTCTAATTTAATAATGTGTTAGACTCTCATAATGTTTGGTAAATTAAGCCCATGGACTTAAACTTCCTTCTTGTTTCTGTAAATAAAGTTTGACTGGAATAGAGCCATGCTCATTTGTTTCCATATTGTATACAAATACTTTCACACTACAACAGAAAGTTGAGTAATTGGTATAGAGAACATATGGTCTGCAAACCCTAAAATACTGACTATCTGGGCCTATATAGAAAAAAGCTTGCCAATTTTTAGATTAGAGCAATGATTATCAATAGATACTAATAGTCCATTAAGTCAAAGTTCAATGGAGAACTTTATAATGGAAAAATAAGACCAAGAACTCCTAATTCTTAGTAATGCTGAAAGGAGGTCAGATATTATATATAAAACAAAGTAATTACCTAAGATGCAAACAGCATGATCCATGAAGTATTTTTAATTTTTAAACAATTAAAAAAAAAAAGTCCACCAAAAAACCTGAATCAAAGTTAAGCCCAAATCATAGATAATAGGGAGAGAAAGGAATGTGTTGAATTTGTAAAATGTGGCTGTAATCCACCAAATTCAGAATATGGGAAACATTTAAAAAGGCAGATTACAAATGGAAATGTAATAGCTAAAAAGAGACATGATCTAGCAAAATGTAATATAAAGACTTAATTGTTTTCTGTGTGATAATGTGAATGTGGTTGTATGTGTTTATTCTTACTGTTGGACAAACACTTAAGGGCTGGGCTATGTACTGGACCTTAAGATTCACTTTAGCAATTAAACAAAGAAAAAGATAAAAGAAGACTGCAAAATGCTAAGTGTTACAGCTGGTTGATGGGCACTTGAGGATAGCCATTTGCAGGTATGTATGCAATTTCTTAATCAAGAAAAAACAATAAGGAGCAAAAACAGCCCTTTTTTTGATGTGCTTCAACTATTCAGAATAAGTGTTTAACTCTTTCTCAATCCAGTTTTAACTTTTGTTTACGCAAAGTCGTTTCCTTAATCTTCTTACTTGACTGATACTGTCATCCTCTGAAACTTGTAACTACTGCTGCACTGGCATCTAAAACCTCTTCCTATATTTACTTAATATTTTAGACATGATATTTTCTTCTCTCAGCTTTATTTTTCCTACAGGAATACCTTAATCAATATCCCTTACATTGCTATTTGCATTCAGAGAAACTACTTTTTCCCTAAGTTTGGCCATACCTAACCACTAACCCTTAAGACAAGAATTAATAAATTATATAATTCTCTGCTCATGGACATTAAACTCCTACTATAAATACAAATTTTATACAGAGAGTCCTAAGATTACTCTTTTATGTTAAGTTTCTAATATTTTGCTATCTGGCTTTTTATATTAAATAATTATCTTAAAATTTTAAACCATGCAATTCCCTTTCTCATTATCAACATTTAAAAATAAAACCCTGGAGACCAGATGTGCAGTGCTAACACAACTGGATCCACATGGCACAGTCGTAGGGTTATTTCCTAAAGCCACCCTTACATACCAGGTGCATGTGTGTGCCCATCATCTGGCACTGCGACTGGGGTAGATTGCAGTGTGAAGACCCTGTTGGGGATGCTTCTGTCTATCTCATGGAAGAAACAAATATATCAAAATGGAAAATAAAAATCTAAAAACCTTGATTGGGTCAGCCCATGGCCTGGTGACTAAGGCAAATGGGTCCCACATGGTTTACTTTGCAGTCTGAGTCCTGGACCCAGAGGTTTGAAAAACACACCAGGTATGTGTGTGTGCAAGTCCAAAAACCCAAAAGGAAGGGGAAATGAAGAAGGGACTGTGGCGACCATTCCCCATAGTGCTTTCTCACTTTCCCTATATTTCTGTCTTTTGCAGGTAAGCACAAGTGTTCTCTGACAAAACAAAAACAGAAACCCTTGACTTAAACTAAGGTTATAACCAGTAATTACATTACCTTCTTATCACAAGTCAAAATCTCATAAATGAGGAAAATCTCAATGAGGTTTTCCCTCTATAAGGGATGGACCCTTAAACTACCTACCCATCTAATGCCAAAGTTTAGCGCATACCACCCTCATTAAGCTGTCTTAGAACACAAAGTGCTTTACAATTACAGAGCCACAGTTCTTTAGCTGAACACCTTAGGGTCAGATGAGTTTTTATAAATATATAGTATATAATATCCACAGTCAAAATAGTGTATACTATTCATAATCATAATACAGTCCAACACTCATAGCCAAATACTACATTTCTACAGTGAAACTAAATTTTCATATCAATAAATACTGCAAACTGCCTTGTGTCAATCAAATTTTTGCCCAACCAGCCCAACATCCAGTGAGAATCCATCTACTTCTGAGATGGGCCCGACCCTGCTCCTTTAACTGAAGTGCCTCTCCTCCCAGCTCAAAACCCAGTAAGAATTCACCTACATCTGAGGTGGGCCAGGCTCTGCTCCTTTAACTGAAGTGCCTCTGATCCAACCTGTCCTTCTAGCCCAACACCCAGAGAGGGTCACGGGAAACCCCACTGAACTACTACACAAAGGGAGAAACTCACTTTCATAAATCTAAACTCAAATCTCTTTCTGTGCGTACCACACTGCAAAACACAGTAGGGTAGAAAAATTGGCATAGAAGTACCTCACAATAAAGTGAAGCATATGAGCTTACAGATGCAAAAAAAAGTTGCATTGACAAAAGTACAGTTTGCTTGGTAAGCATCAGGGAAATGAAACTGCAGAGATATCCAAGGTCATCTCCTCCCAAATGCCTCTAATGCTTAACTCCAAGAAAGTAGAAAGAACCGTATAATCCATCAGATGACCAGAAACCACTGCAGAGGCACAAGAAATATGAGAAACCAAGAAAATCTCTCTCCCCCAAGGGAAAAGAACAACCCTTCATAATTCACAGACAGTAGTACGAAGGAACTTGTGGAAATGTCACATAAGAAATTTAGAATATTCATAGTGACTAAGCTAACAGAGATGCAAGAGGAGAGACAATGAACTCCCGAAGACATAAGAAATTTAGAATATTCATAGTGACTAAGCTAACAGAGATGCAAGAGAGGAGAGACAATGAACTCCCGAAGACACAGGAAAAAAGAGATGAGTTCCAGGAGGTGAAGATGCTCTTGCATGATCTGAAAGAGGAATTACACACCATAAAAAAATCGAATGAAACTGTTAGAGACGAAGGCTGTAATACAAATCAAAACCTGAAAGCAAAACCTCCCTTGGAAGTATTAAAAGCAGATTAGATCATGCAGAAGATCATATCTCAGACGTAGAAGACAGAACCTCTGACCTAGAAAAATTCACCAAAAAGACTGAGAAAATAACCCCCTCCAAATGAGAATAATATATGAGTAATATTAGATGCCATTAGACATTGAAACATCTGGATAATCAGTATTCCAGAAGGTGAAGAAACTAATCAGTGCATTGATAATCTACTCCATGAAATCCTGGAAGAAAACTTTCCAAACCTAGAGAGGCATTCAAATATCCAGACTCAAGAAATACAAAGGATGCCACATAGAATCAGCCCAAGATCTTTTCCAAGGCATATCATAGCCAGATTGACTGAAACCACAGACAGAAACAAGATACTAAAATCAGCAAGAGAGACATGTCAACTTACTTTCAAAGGGTATCCCAGCAGGCTAACATCAGACCTCTCGTCAAAAACAATCCAAACCAAGAATGGGAAAATATAACAAAGTATTAAGTGAAAAACAATTTCAACCACAGCAAGTCGCATGGTGATTAAGGTTCTGGATACTCCCACATGACTGATCAAGGTTTGAGTCCTGGACCTGGTGGCTTGCTTTCTCACTTTCACTTTCTCTCTCTCTCCCATCAAATTAAAATAAATGAATGAATAAAATTAAATATTAAAAAAAAAGAGAAAGTTTCTAAAATGGCCAGCTTAATAGTAGGGACAAGCTGAATGTTAATATCCAAGATTTAAATGGAAAGATCAGAGCATAGTAACACTACAAATTCAACAAAAGGGAAATTATTTACATGAGACTAAACTGGTGAAATAGAATTCTATGGCTTTTGACTAAAACATTACTGATTTTCTTCAATGCTCTCTTCCAGATTTAAAAATTTTTGTTTTGAGCTACTGATAGGTTCAGCAATTTGTTAATTTTTTTTCAATTGAAACAAGCTTTTCTCACTTCCTGATCCATTTGCAATTGGAAAATATTGGCAAGCATTCTTATTTTGTGGCAGAATGGTTATCTGCATATGGTCAATAATACAATAGCATCTGTTGCCTTGCATCAGAAATTGAATTCTTATAGGGTTCTGTATAAGTAACAGACCAAAGTGATACTAAACTTACTTTTTTTTTTCCAAATAAGTTAGTTTATATCTTTCTTTAGTAAAAGAGGGAATGGAGAGAGAGATAAAAAAAGGTTTCAGAAGAAAATTACAGTGTACTTGTCACTAGATTTTAGCTTTGTCCATATTTTTAGTTTAATTAAGATATTTTGTGAATTGATAAAAGGTAAAAAAACGTTTAATATGGGAGGGAGAAAAAGAGGAAAGGGGAAGAAAGGAAAGTAAAGGTACATTTAAGTGACAAAAAATGAGAAGCTATTTGCTGATGATAACATATATAGTAATATCTTTGTTTTGACTGATAGGCATGGTATTCGTGCTGAAAAAAGAAATGTTGTATACTGTAAAGAGTTATGTGATTAAAATATAAATAAATTTAAAAACTTTTTTAAAAAATCAAGTTTTTGCTGCCACAGGAGTCACGACAACACATTTAGGTTATTGTCATTTCTTAGATTTTGAATTATGGATGAGAGACTGCAAATTTGAATTATGTAATAATTACATCACTTTTATTTCAATCACTCTTAAAAGTAACACATTATTTTGAAGCTAAAATATCAGGTGCTAAGGAATAAATACTAGCTGTTTTTTCTTTAACCTGGAAAAAGCAAAGAATAATAATGAAAGACTGCAAATTTCAGACTTTTATGCTATGTAATGGGTTCATGATAAGGAGGCAGCTGCTGCTTTGTAAACATAATTCTGGTGATGCTGCTAGAGAAACTGCCTTTCCCTTTTCATCCAAATGACCGTTAGGCAAGTGTCAAAGTTCTCTGTACAACACTTGTCTAGAACAACTACAGAACACTATTTTGCCAGTGATTGATTAAAAAAAAAAAAAAAGACAGGTAACTCGTCTATTTGGCTTTTTCTTGCTGGAAGTCTCTAAGATCAAGGCTCCAACTATTGGCATGTACCATATAGTTGACCAGATTAAATAAAACTTACCTGAGGACTACAAGTCTGCTATTTCCCTTGGATTTGGCTCTTCTGTGAACTTGCAAGTGCCAGACTATCTGGCTCAGAAATGTCGTCCTTACTGGGTATTTGGAAAACAGGGCTGCTTTTGATTCTGTGCCACCCCAAATGAATGAGTCCAACCAAAGGTACCATAACAACCAGAACCTTGTAGTCTCTCCAGAAGTTCTGAAAGCTCATAGTAATGCAGCACTGGTGTACCTAAGAAAAGGTTACAATTAAAGGAGGGGGAATAAAACTCTAAACATAAACTTCTCTTAATTACACACACATCAGCCACTCCAAGTAGAATACTATAATAAAAAACTGCTAAAGCATTTTTAGCTACAATATATTGTAATGTTAATAAAAAGAAAGATATTGTAGATACAAAGGGATAGCAGGAAGTCAGGGTTGGGAAATTATAAACGATACTGAACTTTGAGTTAACAACTGTAAGGAACTACCACTACCTCCTAGGGAAGCTATATGGATATTTGGAAACAGTCTTGCATGGAGTATTATTTATCTGTATCACTAAATGTATTCTCAGAGCCACAATGAAGTTAGAGCCTTTTTTAAGTCCCAATTTTTTTTTTTTTTAAACCAGAAGGTGCATGTACTTGCCAGAGGAGAGTAAAAGTGTCTGCCTTGCCCCCCCCCTCGTGCTCCCCCCCACACACTCAGGGAATGGTCCCGTCAAAATCCCTTCTCCTTCTCCTTCATTTTTCCCTCCTCTTCAGGATTTTGGGCATTAATGTACACAGGCCCGGCATCTCAAGCCACCAGGTCCAGGACTCAAACTGTGTAGCTGGCCATGTGAGATCTAGATGCCTTAAAACTGCATCATGGGTTGCCCTATAGTCATAATTTTAACAAAGGAATCAAATCAATCTTTAATAAGTAGTTTAACTTAGGGTCTGCATTCTTTTAAGATGTAAATGATGGTGTTTAAAGTGAGATTAGAACAGTCAAGCATGGACTCCAATTATAGAAAAAGACTACTGGCATGCATTAGAATGAATTAATGCCAGGCCCACATATATCTGCTAATTCTCCATATTTAGAGTGTTTGTCCTGACTTACTAGTAACCCTATCCTATAAAGTTGCTGTTAATTCAGTTAACATAAAGAAAATGAGGCCAGAAATCAAGGTCTGGAGTTACCAAGATAATTACTGTTGAAAAACAGATTTTTTTTTTCCTTTTGTCTTTGATTCAGAAAGTGGACCCAAGAAAGCTGTCCTTTCTGAAGATGTGCTGGGTTTGAGAATCCACGTCTGTGCAACTTCTGAAGACTCCTTATACTTTTATATTTAAGGGTCACTCCTTAGATTTTGGTGATTAGTTTACAGACTTATGACATAAGAATGACCCCACTTTCCAAGTTCCTTTCTGAGCACAGAACAATAAGAACTGCTCCATCATATGTGGGATGTGCTAAGAATTGGGTTTTATTTCATCTTTATGAGCTTCAGTAAAATTAAATCTTCTAAATTATAATTTTCTCTAATTGCCATCAGAAATACGTTTGAATAGAATTTCTACTTACTCTTTTTAAAATCAAGATGAAAATACAGATGTAATGGGCTAAACAGCCTATTATTATCTGTGTTCTGTGTGAATATATTAAAAATAAATAAAAGGCTTCAAATTTTATGCCCATACACATTTTTCCCAAGAATAGAAATCATTTTTCCCCAAGGTAAAAATTCATATTTTCTAAGAACTCTGCAGTTCAATTTAGGTCTATTAGATGGAGAAGATATGACTTACTTTGTAACTGAAGGTATGTTATAGCCTTTTCCTTTTTTTTTTTTTTTGAGAGGTTTTTAGCTACAGGGCGCGTGCGCTCGCCAGACAGACAGAGAGAGACATAGAGACAGAAAGCGAGAAAACACCCCCTAGGGGGGATGGTCACGCCGCAATCCCTTCTCCTCCATTCTCCTCTCGGGATCTTGGGCACACACGCACATGCGCCCAGCGTGAGTTTTAAGCCACCGGGTCGGGGACGCGAACCGCAGTCGACTACGTGGGAGTCCAGCGACATAGCCATTACGCTAACTGCTGGTTCCCCTAGCCTTTTCCTTTTCAAGTGCTCTGGTATCCTATATGACTTTTACAATCTTAGAAGACTATTTTGGAGGAAATCAGTCACAAATAATTGTATCAGAATTAAATTTCACAATGAAGCCCATTGTGCAAAAGCCTTTGCAGCATCTGAGATTTGAGAATACAATTAAAAAAAAATCAAGAGAGGCACTGGATGATCTAGATTAATAAGGGAAGAACTGTAACATGAGTTACTTCACAGAGGGCAGCAGGGGTGGAGGCTGCACCAAAATGCACTTAATTGACATGTGGTATTTCTGTCCATGAACTCCTTGAACCGAAGGTCTAGAAGATACAGTCATCACAGTCATCCATATCCATTCTCCTCAATACTTATGGGACTCTGGTATGTCTGTCATTTTTAGTAAAAGGTAATCAAGTCACATGGCTATGCTCTGTGATCACCAAAAAAAATTCACCATCTTTTTTCTGAACTACAAACTTCTAGAAAAACATTCTGTAGAAAGGATACTAGTTAGGATAAAAAGATAATAATAAAATTGGGATTTATGATTCAATAATTAAAATTATGAACAAATTAAACTGCAGATTGTAACAGCAATGTTTGGGAAAGTGTTGTACTGTCTGTGCTCTCCATGTGGATCATAGCATGCACCGTGATGTTCTGTGAACCTTCCACAAATTGAGGTCTCAGATTAGGACCCAATTATCTCTCTACACTTAATGAATCTTTGTCATCTGTTGAGTTAGGGACAAAGGAAGCACTTCATTTTCTGTACACCACATTAATTTTCTATTGCTCTTTCCCATTAGGATAACTTAAGGATCTATGCATCTTTAGGTTTAGTTAAACCTGGGAATTAGTATCTGTTTTGGCTGAAAATTCATTATTTGCCAACAATCACTGAGGCCCAGTAGTAAATGATTAGTAAATCACATGGACTGATTTACTTATTGTCTTAATGTTTACTGAACATCTACTTATCTCCATTTCCTCAGATTCTCATATATGCTTGATGGAGGCGAGAAACAGGTAATTATTTTATGACAGATTATTTTGCTGTCCTTTGAGAACAATGGTAAATGATCAGGACTGGGATGATAGGGCTTTTTTTATTTTACAAAGTACTTTAAGAGTCTTCACATTTAATACACATAAAAATACTGAGTATCCTACTGTATACTGTATATCTTTCTGGTTTTAAAATGTGATCATAATTTACATGCTGTTTAGTAAACATTTTCCCCAAGAACATGAATCTTCATGATAATTATTTTTAAAGAACTATTTAATTTTATTTATTTATTATTTTTAAAATTGACCAGAGACAGACAGACAGAGGAAGGGAAGAGAAAGTGAGAAAGCAAACCACCAGGTCCAGCAATGAACCACAGTCAGCTATGTAGGAGTCCAGTGCCTTAACCACCATGCCACCTGCTGGATCCCCATGATCCATTTTTAATACTGACAGCTGAATAGCATCTGATTTTTATGGAGATTCTATCTAATTTGACCAATCCCCTACTCACAGAAGGTTGGGAGTTTTCTTCTAAATGTTTTTTGTGTTAAATATGTCATGGTAATTCCCAGCCATCCCCCCAAGTTAAAGTTTACTTATTTATTTCTTCCATGAGAAGAGACAGAGAGAAAAAAAGGAAAACATCCCTCCAACAGGGTCCTTATTATGCTGAGATCCACCCTAAGTTTTGGCCAGCAGGGACCATAAGCACCCAGTACATACAGAGACCTCGGGATGTGAACTTGGGACCTTCCCATGTGGCTTCAGCATCACGGAGTGTTACATTACCGTACTACTGTGCCTGACCATTGGTGACAAATACTCTTGAAAATAATCCAGTCTTTGCTTATAGCCTCTATATGCTGCTTTTCAGAGTAGTAAAACAAAACAAAACAAAAACAAAAAATAAGAAACAGACTTCTTAACAACCCCCTTTTCAAATGAATTTGAGTTTTTTTTTAAAAACTTTGTTGCAAAGGTTTATTGTGCAAAGCAGTGGGAGACTCAATTTGGAAATGAAAACTTATGCTAAACAGTTTACCTTGAGATGGTTTTCCCCTCAAAACAATTTTCATTCCAAGTAGTTTATAACTACCTATGGGCACTAGAGATTCCAGAGTCTGAAACAAAACTTTCTCAAGAATGTGCTTAAAGTGATCACATTTGATGAGTAATAAAAGGCTAGTCCTTAAAATAAGTTATAGTTTGCTCTTCTTTCACTGAACTTTTCCGGTTGGAGTAGAGAAAATAGAAACAAAAAGGATCCCCCCCCCCAAGCCTTTCCTCCTCTCATTGCCCTTTTTTGTCTTCCCTGAATCTTCTTTAAACATATTTCTAAAAAAGACTCCTTTAGATGGGAGAAATCAAGAAAATGAGATTAGTAAATTTTAAATCAAATAAAACAGAGTAGAGATTTATGGTTTTATTCACTAAAATACCTTTTGTTAAGTTTAGAAATAGAAATAATCCTAACATAGTTTATGCTTTCTTATATTTCTATATGTACATATTTCTTATACTCTCAAATATATGTATTACACTATTCAGAAGGTTTCATATTTTTCATCTTATTTGTTTTCAGGGGAACTTTATGAGAACATTTTATAAATGAGGAAAAACTAAATAACTGACTCTAAGATTAGCATCAGTAATTGTGGTACTCAATTTAGATTTTGGAGTCTTAGAAGTCTGGACTGGTGTTTTATTGAATAATTTTCCAAAGTGAAGAATTAGCACCCTGATTGATCAGCAAAGTCAACCAGAATTTCCAATGCACAATGATGGACAACATCTGAATGCATGATGCCCACTTGTGAGGGTCATTGATTCAACTAGCCTAAGCCCATTATGCCTGGCAAGTTCTTCTGGGTTTCATGTACAATAGAAGAGGTTAACTGTACTTCCATGCCACTTCATCGAAAATTACAGGGCAAGAGTCTATATTCTCCAAAATACATCTGTGACCTACTAATAGTTGAGATTAGCTGTACTAATATTAGCTCAGTTTTCTGTATAGAATGAACAGCAAGAGATTAATGAGCAGAAGAGGGAAAAACTTGTTATAGCTCTGCCTCATTACAAATTCTGTATTCTTTTTAGGTAGCTATAAATATAAAAGCTAAGAAGGAAA